CGCTCTACTACAAGACAGCAGGGTCTAGACTGTAAACCACAGGGAATATTTCAATTCAGTCAATAGCTTCCATTACTGTCACCTAACCAACAAAGATTTAATAGTAATTTCTATTAATTTTATCGCAAGTATAAGCAAAACCTCTCTGGATGCATCACAAGAATTATAGTCATCTTCCTGTACGAATAGTATTTAAACTGTATATTCTTTTCCATGTACAAGCCAAAAAATAATGATAATAACAGAAGGAAATGAATACCTCTCTGCTTAAATTCTCTTTAAATACTGAAAATACTTCATGCTCAAGTATCTGCTAGTTTCAGACACTTGGAGATGCAGGACATTAATAAAAACAAATACAAATATCAAAAATCATCGTGAAGATTTGAACCAAGTCATGACACTCTTAAGCGACTAAATGCTGTGATACATGTCTACATAAAAATAGAAAACAGAAAGAGTAAGTACAAAATAGAGGAACTGATAAAGAAAAACCCTAGCTCTAACAAAAGTAGACGGAAGAAAAAATATAGACATTTCACCATAAAAATTTCAACAACAAAAAGCCAGAAATTATTTTCAGATTAGGTTTTTGTTTTGTTTTGTTTTCTGATGAACTGAAAAATGAAAGTGTAAATCCCATAAAATGTTCTACCTGATCTGAAATTATAGACTCCTCTTTGGGAGACCTGACCTTTTTTTTCCCCTCCTCTTTTTTTCCATTAGGATTGTTAACTTTGATACGGACACATTTTAAAAACAGCCAGGACCAAAGAAATATTTTTTAGAATTTGCTTTGCCTCCATCCAAAAGAGCTTTTATCAAGTAAGCAAACCCTACATGAGCGTATGCAGCTCCACATTACCTGAATTTGCAATTTGCAGCAAGTATCTAAGTAAAAACTAATACCTGCCTCCAAGACTAATTTTAAATGACCTTTCAAAAGCATACTGAAAGAGAGGATGGAATATGGCCTAATGTAGAAAATGCACAAAAAGCAGTCCCTCCTAAAAACTATCTAGAGGACAGGTATTCACATATGCACATATTCTCCTCAAGGGCGGGCTCATGGAGCAGAGCTCACACACACAGCCAGCTTCCGATATTAACAGCTTCAACACTCCACTTGATCATCAACTTTACAGATGCTCATCATAAAGAATGTAATGATATATTATTACACTTTAAGCCCTCACTCAGTCTGTGTTGTGTGTCTTCCAATAACCATTTTACAGGGGAGGAAAATATACTCCAGCTATCAAGTACATGCAGTTATCATTTAGATTTAACTACAGTAGCTCATGTTTCTTGCCTATTTTATCAAAACTATATATAAGTGTTTAACAAAACTAGCAATCCCTCAGATGTCTTTGCTCATTTCCAGAAAGCCTACTCCTATTAAAATATTCTAGAAAGATGTATCTTTTGGGGGGAATGGCTTATGTGACTGGTTTTGGTAAATTTTTTTTTTTTTTTTAAATGAGAAAAACACTGTGTAATAAAATAAATGCACACCTGCTACAAGGTTCTGATGTATGTGAAAGGAAAACAGAATAGAGTACCAGTCATCAAACATGTTTATATAATTTTTCCCGTGACTTTATGCAACTGTTGCTAGGCAGTCATGTGCCGTGGTGATGAGTGGCGTGTGAATACCTAGACAGATTAGAGAGACATATGTTACTGAACGCATGATGTACAGTCTGCTTTCTCTCTAGACTGCTGTAAAACCCAAGATACCAGCTATACCTTTTCCCCAAGGGGACTGGAATGTCAGATGGTTCAAAGAAACAGTTCAAGGAGTCTGACCTTGTGCAATACAGGTATCACTTTTCTGCTCTTAGTTACACAGTTCTCTCTAGTGAGTTAAAACAGAGTGCGTGGACTGAATGTATTTCAAATAGAGGTGCAAATTAAAAGAATGAATAAAAATTTAACATATCAGCACTTTTTATAATGGTTTAACAAGGCATGCAGTCTACTTCCTAAGCCAGTTTGTTAAGCCTGCTATTGTCTTTCTAGAATCAGCTAGAAATATAGAAATTTAGAAAGATCTATATGGGAAAATTAATTCACTCAGTTATGAAGACTGAACTGTCTTGTAAGAAACTTTTAAGAATATCTTGACAGTAGTTCAGGCAGCTGTAAAGGGGGAAATGTTAAGGGAAAAAAATAATATAAGCTCTTTTCTAAATAAGTGCCTTTCACTCTTCCCACATCCAATTTGAAATTACAGCCTTCCAATTGGTGACATGTTTTAGCATAACCAACAAAAACAGTGGCTCTAGAGGGAATGGGAAAAGCACGACACAGGACTACAAAATCATAAAGCTTGGCAAAAAGAACAGCAGGAAAAGTCTAAGTGTAACAATAAGAGATGAAGATATAGTCAGTAAGTGCATGGGTAGGAGACAAAGACTTTTGGTGAGCAACACTTCAGTAGAACTTAAAATAAGAGAAGCCAAAAGAAAAGATTTGCACCATAATCAAGAAAACTGAGAGCTAAGACGTGAACCATAGTTTTCACACCAGATAGGAAGAAATCTGTGAACTAGTGTAAAAGAGGTATCAGAAAATTTTGCTAGTAATTGAAATATTGAAACTAAATTAAAACTAGGAGGAAAGCTTGAGAATAACTCAAGTGGGAAACTTTGCTGCTCATATTAGTCAATTTTTTTTTGTATGTGTCAGAGCAGGTTCTATTACTTTGCTCCAACTGTTCAATAATAAAATCAGATCTGATTTCCATTGCACTTCACTGCAGATTGGAGCAGGACACCCACAATGAAGTTTCAGCAAGACAGCTGGTGGTGCAAAGCTGAGCAAATGAGAAAAGTCTGAGTGGGAGTCAGAAGATTGGAACTTATAGCTGAATAAATTAGATGTCCAATACCTTCATTTACTGAAATGATTTAATCATGAAATAAATACGTATCCTGTGTTTATTTCAATGTGTAATATGAAATTCAAATCTGCTTTTACATATGTATGCAATCAGTTATTCTTAAATGCAGCTGTATTTATTGTCTTAAATTCCTGAATTTCACGCTTACAGAGTGCCCACTTCAAAAACTAGTAGTTATTAATGAATTTCCAAAGACTTTGAGATCTTCTTATATAAACTCTCTCTCTCTCTCAAAATCCATTTCATTTGAACATACCAAAGTTGTGGACCATTTCCATGAGAAATCTGAAGTTTTTAAAGGAATACAAAGTTGAAGCTCCAAAAGACTCCAAAAGCACACTAGGCAAATAAACAACTCAGCACCCACAAGAAAAAAAAAAAAAGAAAAAATAAGAAATTTTGGTCTGAAAACATTCTGTCAGAACTTGAAGGTAAAGTTTTCTTCCAGAAGTTCCTCTTGGACTTTAACATCAATGTGTTAGATTTCTTTGCCACTATACATAAATATATCTTTCTCCACCCTATACTCCCCAGAAAGACATGCTTTATGACATTTCCTTATACAGGCCCTGATAAGATAAGCTTTGAACACGTGGTTAGTTGCAGATGCCCTGAAATTTCTGCACACCGCTGTTCATATCACATCTTTTCCAGTCAGAGAACCAATGCCAACTACTTCAACCTGAATTTCACTACACTCAAATATGAGTACACTCCTAAACAATACGTTACCAATGGTTACTGCAATTAGTCTTTCATGTTTACATATGCAATTTTAACAACAAATGAGTAAATACACTTGGGAGATACAAAAAGCCTTCTGTTTTCTACTAGATGCCCCCTAATAAATCTATGCACTGGAAGGAAACCTAACTGCTAGAAATGTTCTTAAACCACTGTGGTACTAAGGAAACAGGTTGTCCAGAGAAGCTGTGAAGTCTCCATCCTTGGAGCTATTCAAAACTGTCGATGAGCAACCTGCTTTAGGTAGCCCTGCTCTGAGCAGAGGGTTGGACTACACCATCTCCAGGAAAACTCTTTCAACCTCAGCAATTCTTTGATTCAATTTTAAACATTGGAATACTATCTGTCAGAGTCAAAATATAGTAGCAGTCTGTACATCTTTCTATCAGCATCTCTGATCAGCTAAACTAACACCAAAACAAGACAAAAATAAGCTTCCCAAATATCCCTTCTGGTTACTTATCACTAGTCAGTCTTCGGTGCCAGGTCTCCTGTGCATCAATTTCTAGAAACTGATGAGAGTGTTGGTACTGAAAACAAACCCAAATTACATTGTAAATTTAAATTTAACAGATCAGGATGTATAAGAAGTTGTTCAAGCATTAAGAAGAGATCACACATTCATACAAAGCCTTATGCCAACACAGAGCAAGTAAAGGAAATATATAAGCACATAAGCCAAGCTACAGTAAACATCAGGTTCAAATAAGTTCACTTGAAGTCAATCTGCCATTTCTGTTATATAATTACAGCAAGAATGGTGATGAAGGATAGAAATCATCCACAGATATCTCTTTCTTAGCATCCCACAAAAATGAAATAACCTGAGTATCACCAAGTCAAAACTCATGACTCAGGCTTTCAGCTAATGAACACTCACACAGTTACAAAGCAAATCCACCCCACATCCTTTTCCAAAACACACACTGGGGCTATGAAGAGTAATTTTCTTTTTTTTTTTTTTTTTTTAGCAGTAAATTTTACTGATTCATAAACAATTTAGCATACAACTATTGTGGTCTAATTATAAGCATAGCCAGTGAGCACTTAAAATCAAGCAAAATGGCAAAAAAAGCTACATTGGAGCTGCACCTTTATTTATATGAAGAAATGAGAACACACTTCTAAAGACTGTACAGAGAAACATTACCTTCTTTTTTTTTCCCCAGTTTTCCCCCATTTTCTTGTAAGCAGTTTTCCCAAACAGCATGATTTTTTTTTTCCATTGAACTTGTTATTAAGGCCTTAGGAGATCACGACGATACACTGCAACACATCTGATGTTTCAGTGTAAGGAAAGTAAATTTAATTTTGTGCTCTGGTATGCAATATCAGTTTAAAAACCACTCACCTCTGTTATATGAGGATTTGGGTTGAATCCACACAGGCTGCAGACCACAGTGTGACACTGCGTGCACGTGTTGTAATTGGCCTTTTCTGGAGTGTGCAGCAGCAGTTCAGTGGTTGTGCAAAGAGGACAGATGGTTTTCTTGGGGGTGGACTCAGTGGGTTGGGTTGCACCACCTTGCTTTTGCTGTGAGGGGGTTTCAGGCCCTGGTTGCTGGCCTGGTGGTTTTGTAAGTCCCGGTGGTTGTGCTGGGGGCTTTGTGGCCCCTGCAGTCTGAGAAGATAGTTTTGCAGGCCCTGACTGTGGTGGCACTTGTTTTTGAAGCCCCGTTTGCTGCGGAGCTTGCTTCCCAGGTCCAGGCTGTGATGGCTGCTTTGCAGGTCCTGTTTGCTGAGCAGATGGCTTTTCGGGTCCAGGTTGGTGAGAAGGCTGCTTTGGAGGTCCTGCCTGCTGGGAAGATGACTTTGCAGGACCTCCTTGCCGTGAAGGCTGTTGGGATTGTTGTTTTGCAGGTCCTGGCTGCTGCGATGATGGTTTTGTGGGAGGTGGTGCTTGGGATGATGTTCTAGCATTGTCTGGTTGCTGTGCTGATGGTTTTGTTGGGCCTGATGATGTTTTTGCAGAAGTTTGTTGTTGAACAGGCTTTGCTGGTTCTGACTGTTGGGGCTGAGACTTCTGTGGTCCTCGTGGCTGGGGTGGTTGTTTTGCTTGTTCTAGCTTAGAGTCTGCTGGGTGACCAGGGCCTAGTTTCTGAACTGGCTTTGGTTCCCCAGGCTGATGCTGCTGAGGCACTGGCTTGGAAGACTCAGTTTGCTGGGGGGTAGGTCTGACAGGTCCTTGCTGTTGAACAGCTGGCTTTGGAGACTGTTGTTGAGTTGGCTGTTTTGCAAGGCCCCTCTGCTCCTCAGGTTTCCCTTGCTCTTTTGGGGTAACTTTTTGTTTCCTACCGGCTTCTTCATGGGCTGCATCTGAATCTGATATCAAATCAAAAGGATTGAATTTGTTCACAACTGAAGTGACCGCACTCAATGGATTGGCTTCTGAGAGAAAACTGGGCATCATACTTGGCTTCTGATCTTCTTTTAAATCAGTCCTGGACTTTGATTCTCTTAGACTAATAGAAGAAGGGCTCCGTCCAGGTACCCGTTGTTCTGTCTTCAGCACATCTACTGTTCTGCTTTTACTTAGACTTGGTGCTCCCGGATCTGGAGGCCTACCTGGTTGCCTGGAACGGTGGCTTGGATCATGCTCAGGATGTCTGTAGACAGAAAATGTAATAAAATTAAAATAATGCAGAGTACTAGAAAAAAATGAGATAAAATAAGATTTATTTGAAGCCCTGGAAATGCTCTGGTAACACCATGAAGCCTGCCAGATGCTTAAGTGTTTGCAAGACCAAGGGTTATAACATAAGATGCAAGAATTGTTCTATGAAGGCTTATACAAATATTGTCATAGACTAACTTATTATTTAGAAAATAATCTAATATAACAATGTGAAATCTGAGGAAATCTGAGGAGCTCAAAAATACAAATTCTTATTTTACACTGACTAACTCTTCACTCTAGTCCTTGGACAAAAACATAGGGAGACAGAGAAGACTAAAACAAACAGAGGTGTCACAAAATTGGCAAACCAAAGCACAGCTGTACAAGAAAAACACCATTCAAAATGTTTACATACTTCTTTTTCAGCTACTTGCACAAAATCTGGATATATTTACAATTCAATATGCAGTGGGGATTTAAACTCCTAAAATTCAGCTATGTTAAGGAGTATATGTCTCTTTTTAAAGTATTTCTTTTGCCACTCATCCACTCACAAATCAGAAAATTTTAAATTAGATAAAACAGATGCAAGTTCACAGAATTAGTCCTGAAGCTTTTCATTTTCTTTTTGAATAGAACTATTAGAACTTCCTCACAGCATCGGCCCAACAATTTACACTGTCCAGCAATAAAATGAAAATCTCTCATTACATAGTGATTTTTCCCAATTCTCTAATAATAGTATTTTGCTGTTTTCATATAGAAGAAAATAAAATCAAGAACATTTCTTTATATGTGGCATAGTATTCTCCTTGCTGCTATACTCAGCTGCAGCTGTAGGAAATAATATAGTATTCAATGCTATTGCTAAATGCTGTGGTATCAGTGCTACCACTGTGCTTTTTCTGGGAGATATGGTGTTCTCTTCAGTGCCATAGCAGTGTTGCAGATATAAAATTTTCAGCTTTCCCTTTGAGAGATCCAGTTAACTGTGATCTTGTTTTTCCAGACATGACATTTCTTCTTGGGCATTTGTGATCAAAATAAACAATCACTCATCACATTTAACTGTATTACTTAACTAAAAAATAAACACATAAAAATTGGCACAATTCTGTTCAAGAGTTTTATCAGAAGTCTGCAGAATTATATAGTATAGAATATATAGTAGCCACATTGAAAAATGTATTTTACACTTTTCATGTTACCATGGGTTTACTAGTGTTTCTGAATAATTAAATTTAGAGTTTTCATTACATATGTAGCAATGGCAATATAAAAGGACAATGCAGTAGCCACTTCTGTACTCACAATTCTCACAACATAGGATTTTCTCAAAATCTTCTATCTGATTTTTTTTTTTTCTTTGTAAATTAAAAATATCCATATGAAAAGCTTGTTATGGACAAACTACTTCCAGCCTTCCAGAACTTCATTTACCCTTCCCCATTCTTGTAAAATTATTGACCAGAATACTGGAAAGTTTACAACCTTACTGTGCAACCCACTGAAGCAAGTAGTGTGTCTCCACTAGCATTAGTGATTGATTAACTCATTATTCATGAGGATAATTCAGAAAAGGACAATGATAATCTAATTCCTTCACATATTTTCACATGCACTTTTTCTCATTAAAAGAGCAATTTTATACTCTCATTAGCAACTAGCTAAGTCTACCTGCAGTTCTGTTTCTTGTTATTTAGAAAAGCACTCAAGGTTTACCTAAGAGGTGTTGCTTACTAAGTGAAATAATTTCAACTAGTCTGTTAGTGGCAGCCTGGTATGCTTCCAGTATTCATGTTCACAAGCATGGAAGGCTTCATTTAACAATGCTGAGAGTAACAAGGGAAAAAAGGAGAGGGATCAACAGTACTATTAGAACTCAGTTCAGTAAGAGGGCACCATGCCCAAACCTTGCAGTGTGAAGGTGGAAGAAAAACAAAACAAAGAAAACAAAGCAAAACAAAAACAACAACCAAACCAAAAAAAATCCAACCTAAAACCGCTTCTAGAAATTCAGCTTGGACATTATCAAGAGTAACTAACTGTGGATCCCTACTGGAACAGAGTTTTCCTCCAGTTTTTATTTTTATCATAATGATGTGCTCCATAAATTTCCACCTGATCAGACGTCAGCACTTGAAATGAGATTAAAGCTCATGAATCCAGGAAATAAAGCCAAGTGATTCTGCACGGCTGCTGGTGTATTCTGAAGACAAGACTTGTCTTGCCTTTATACATAACAATCTTTCTAAGCAATGGAGACAGTCTGGTTAACTCTTTGGTTAACATGAAAGAAAAGCCTTGAAAAGACAAGCTTCTTGAGAAATGCTACCTCTGTCAAAAGCCAGGACTTGCTCCATTTAGTTTTAGGTAGCTGAAAGTTGAAGCCTTTTCTAGAGCTATTTTACAAGCAGTTACAGACTGGTACTGAACGATTTTAATCAATCTGGAGAATCAGAAATCCTAAAATAAAAATCTTATCTTTATTTGACATTTTTCTTACTTTTAAACCTCTTGAATCATGAAAAACCCAGCACTGTTTTAAAACCTTCAATCCAGACTCAACAAGCAAAATCATTTAGTCCTCCCTCACCTACTTCCTTTCTTCATGCTGCTGTGTTTCCCTTCACCCTAGCCTTGATTCACAGAGCTCATCTTTATTTATTTACATTAATATTACAGCCAAATCAAAGCTTACTTTGGAGTCAACAAGAGATCCAACAACAAGACCGTGTGTCTAGTTCCTGAAGGCCATAACTATAAAAAGCTATTTAAGAAGGCATGTCTTTTTCCCCATTCATCAGTCTACTAGTTTTAAAGAGATGCATAACAACTACACAACTCCAAGACAGTTACATCTTCTCACATCTACAGATAAGACAGGTATAAACTTATGCATATCCCTAATGGCCAATTTTAAGCCAATAGAGTGATGGCATTACCAAAAATACATATTTCTTCTGGAAAACACACCATAAACATACTTTTGAATTGTGACACTCAGCAAGAATTCTAAGCATTTTTTCTCAAAACGCAGCAAATTTGTTTTCTGTTAGTGTCTATTGTGAACAACTTAATGAACTGGAAAGAAAAAAAAAAATCTAAACAACACAGCCAGCTGCATTAGATGGTTCCAAGCATATAGCTTGGTCATCTAATCCTTTCACATGGTATGGAATAGTTCCTCAGCAAGTGGGCACTGACATAGTTACAGAGTCAATCATTGAAGTCTGAAGAACTAGAACTTGCTTACAAATTGACTGTGTATGTTTCAGCTAAACTTCCTAGCCATGAGTTTTCTGAAGACAAGTAACTAAGTAACTGAAATAGGACAGACTGATTTCCATCAGCACTAAGCATCCCAAACTCTGACTGGAACCTAGAGAATAAAATGTTCTGGAAAAAAAAAATAAATTAAAAGGTATACTTGATTTAAGCAGTTCACTTTAGGTGTTCTAGATCTAAATGCCTATGCTAAAACACATAATAAACACTAACTGCATTTATTTAGTTATTGCATTTTTGAAGACTTAAAAGCTCAAAGCCTATAGGAGTCCTAGAAGCTGAAGCAGGTATTTTATGTTGCAACTATGTTTCCTGGTACATACATTACTTACTGTTAAAAAGTCTGTAGTTGCAAAAATTGTTACTTCAGGATATCATCAACGATGAGGATTTTGTGCACTTTAAGACTTGGGTTACTTTGGGGGTGGAATAAAAACATTAGTATACAAAATGATTATTAGTCTCTCAGGTAAGACTGGATAATAGCTAATGTATAATGGAAATCACAGAGGTAAAATCCAGTTAATGACATGGGGAAAAAAAAAAAAAAAGAACACTAACAGGCAATGGGATTGGAACAATGTCATAATGCAAGGCTATACAAACTGGAAACCAGAATTCTTCTTTTGATCACTGATGTTCAGTCATCTGAACATTTGGACTGGCATAACCATGATAGAAAAAAAAATAAATGTTGGGAACAGCAGTTGTAGAGCATGAGTTAAAAGGCATTTTCCACATCTGGTTTCTTTGGCCACATTGACCTAAAAAAAAATTGATGCTACAGAGTCTGAAACTGAGAAGGCTAGTTCTTTACTTAAGTTGAAGTCTGGCTGATGCTGATCCTCAGACCTTAGAAGGTATTCCAAGGGTTTGGAGGTTCTTAATCATTCCTATCATTCTTGGTAGTTCTCAACAGCAAAGAGAGGCATGCAAGGGGAGCAAGTAAAGCCACAAACCAAGAGCAGAAACAAGTAGCCACCTCATTACAGCGTGACAGGCAAAAAGATGGCATGATGGGAACTGCTACAACCCCATAAGAGAAGCCAGTTGATAGGTTATTGCACTCAATGTTAAAATGCCAACTGTGTCTAAAAGTTAAAAAGCTGGAATTCACAAATTCAGAGTGCCTTTACTTTAAATGGAGAATCAAAGTATGGTACACTAACAAGATCAAAGTAGTTTCTGGCATCATGAATATGTTTGTAGGAAAGCAGCCATTTATAAACGCAGAAATATTCACATCATGATGAGTTTCTAAATTCATTCTAAAATTTTCCAAAGATATGTTTCCTCTTACTTAACATCAGCATAAACAAGAAACTTTTAAAGTCTTTGTGTCTCTGCTCACAGGCTGTTTTACAAAAGGGAATTGTGAGCTTAGTTTCACAGAACTAACCAATATGATTCTTTTCTGTTTACTAATATCTGTAGAAGCTGGGCAGAGCCTTGAATTGAATGGGAAATGTTTTTTTACAAACAGTGTTAATACCTGTTCAATAATTATGCAAGACACCAAAGATGAAGATTTGATTTCCAGTTTTTAAAAATGGAGACCATCATCTCAGGTATAATCCCAATGACTTCAGTAGTTTGCTCAAGGATGAATTTGGTCCCACCCTCCTTGCTTCTCTTCTTCTAGAATTCACTTATATAAACCTGATATTATATAAACTCCGTATGCGTTTATCTAGGGTGAGG